GTGACATCAACATGCAGATCTGAAAGCATTGGAACCATAACTGAAAACATGAGAATTCCAATGTAAAAATTGGTCAAGATGTGTCAGTTATTATATTTGTAAAGTATGGTTCCACAAGAAATGGAGGGAAAATTTTTCCATACGTACAATATTTATTAAGATAAATTTATTGAATGCTGCAAGTAAAACTAATAATTAACTGGGAATTATTTAATTTTTAATTATCTTTCAAATATAGCTATTTTTTAACCACAATAAATCTAAAGAAAAGAAGGATACTATGACTTTAAAATAATTTATGTTGAGCGCAGTGGGTACCAGAGTGAATGCATGTTACCATGACAACAGACACTGAAAATTTAAACATCCAATGACTGAATTCCCTGTAAAGAAGCTACTCTGCATTCAAATGATGAACTGGTGAAACATTAAACAGATTTACCTGCAGCCTACTTATATTAAGCAGACAGCTTGATTATAGCTTTTAAAGAATACAACTATGCACTTGCAAAGTTTATTATTTCAATTCAAATTTATCTAAGATTTAAAGAGCAACCTGAAGACCAGTAAGTAAAAAGAGCAAGTAGCCAATTAAGAGGGACTTGTGAAAGAAGATACCTTTTATTTTTTTCAGGAATCCATTGGCATTATCTGTCTGTCATACGTATTTGATTACATTGCCTCAGCAAAACATACTATCCCATACACAAAATGAAGCCCATATATAGAGCAGGATGTCCTTTGCATATTCATTACAAGGAAGCATTTGAAAACCTCATAATCCATAATTATTTCTCAGAAGATTTTAAAACAACTTACAGAGTTACTGGATTTGAGAATGAATGTATTGTGCTTGCATCCAGCAATCTTTATGTAAATCAGCCTCATGCATCGTAAATGCAGAAGAATGTCTGGCACTTGGGCAGAAAGTTTCAAGTCATAGACATAAACTAAGTGAGGGAAAAGCGTTTTATTGTCTACAAGTCAAATTATCCAATGAAAGGGTACAGGAGATGCAGACATGAAGTGACAGGACACCATGATTTACACTCTGAAAAAATCACTGTTTGACACTACATGGAGTAGAAGACATGCTTTAGAACTGGTGGACAGAATTCCTCCCACAAGGTACCTTTAAGTGGCTGTCCTTTAAAAGAAACATATTCTGCAAGTCATTCTAACAAAATTGTGTCAGATTTTGTAAAACAACTAATTGGCAGTAGCTCTAACCTAAGAGGATTTAACTAACTATTCCTACTTCATGGTGTATTTAATTTATACATTAATGACATAAAAACATGACCAAGATTTATGTATAATTTTAATTTCCTTCTTAGTATTCCTCAAATTGTTCTCTTCAGTTTCTGATGCTCCCAGTTTTCTACCATCTCTGAGACAGGAAGTCCAGGCAATTGAAAAATCCATCCTGGAGAATTCCAAACATTTACAAAAATAATGATGATTCCTTTCTCAATATTAGCTTGTTAAGGCACAAATGGACCCTTGCATACCACCTTAGTCATTGCTGAAGCATAGTATCTGGATAAACACTGGCACACATTGTTGGTCTCCAGTGTACTACCAGACTCTGCAACCTCCTTCCACCCATCCGTTCCCTCTCCTTAGGGTTTGTCCATTTGTGCTCTTGCATCTCTGGCATAACACAGCTGTGGTCCCAAGTTGCTGGGAGCAGAGCTGTAGAACAGATGGGAGAAGATCCTCAGGACATTGTGCCTGCTTTTCCTGGGTGCTGCATTGTGTACTGAATAAAGTCTCTGGCCTGAGCTAACCTGCAAGTGTCCCTGTGTCCTTGTGCCTGGTCATGCATGTCCTTGTTCTCCGCTGTGACTCACCCTGGACCTGCTGGCTGTCCTTTATCTTCATTATCCTTGTGTGGAGGTCCTGCTGGCTATCTCTGGCTGCTGTCACTCCTCCCTGCTATCCCCTGTCCCCCCTATTGTGGCGCTGCACCCTGTCTTCCTGACTGCTTCACTGCCACTTCCTGTCCCAGCAGCATCCCCCCRGTGCTTCATCATATCCCCGTGCTGAACTGCTGATCTGAGCTTTTACTGTGAAAGTTTCTTGCCTTGTTTAAATCAGGAAACACCATTGTTTATTTGCATAGGACTCTCTAGCACCATAATGACAAAATGAAACATGAACAAAAACATGGTACAGTTACTAGGTCCAGTTATCCACTGCATTGTGCACATACTGAAACATGCTTAGCCCAGGTGCCTTGCTAATGGCAAAAGACTCCAGGTACTGTGCCCAGAAACAACATAGCAACGCTATACCACTGTCATGACAAACCCAGAATAGTCTGCCTTCCCAGCCATAATGGAAATTTGGAGCTTGCAACTTCCTTCACCGATCAGTCAAATTTTTGTTTGCCTTCTCTGGACAATGTGGACAACATTTTTTCAGGAAAGATCTTCTCTGTTACCTTACTATGCTACTGTTGATACAATATATTAGGGTTTTTTTTCAATAATTAGTCCTTACTTATGCATCAAGGATAAGTGGGTAACTGACTACCTCTTTTTAAGACTTTCAGTAGACAGAGCATGTAGAGAGCTTCTCACATAGCGAAGCATTATGTGTTTGTGGTCACCTTTTGGGAATGCATTGAAAAGATGAGGAAATGGGAGCAAAACAGGGTAGAAGTCAAAAGTAAGGCAACAAATTGCTTGGAATAGGAGAACATCTGGTATTATTCAATGCCGATGAAGAAGGGGAGGTCAAAACTGGTAGAGTACCCCTGGGGGTATGAGAGGGAAAGCAGAACATCCCTTCTCCGAAACAGATGCTATAATTGTATTCTAGGAAATAGACTGGGAACAGCAGTCAAGATAAACTCCATTTTTCGTCATTCTACCCACCTGTTCCTTCTCCTTTGGCTTCTGTCTTCCTTCCATGACAGCTGCAGATGAACTCTGTGCACTTTGACCCACCTCCAGTACTGAAATACTATCTTTGGCACAATTGAGCAGCCTCCAGAAGATAAGGACCTGTCTTCCTCACTTCTAACATGCTGCAGAGAGGAACCGCACAGCATAGAATGTTCCAGCTTAATCTTAATAAACAACTCCCCTTTTTTCACTAAAATGGGAGATAAAAGTGTGCAACCCATCAATATATCTGTTTTGCCGAGTCAAGGCAGAGATGAGTAGCTCTGTGGGGAATGAGTAGTTGTCCCACAGCCTTAGCTGGGAGCAGAGAACACCGTGGGCAGCCCCAGCCTGGGCAATTGGGCAGCCCCAGCCTGGGCAATTGGGCACCCCCAGGAATGGGGACGCCTGTGGTGGGGTCCAGGTCAGTGGAGCCCATGGACCAGCAGGGCAGGGCTGTGGGGAGCTGGGCAAGGCCCTTGCTGTGACATTACTGTGGCAGAGGCTGTCAGTACTGAGACTGAGATAGGGTCTTGGGCTGAGGGCAGATGAGSAGAGCCTCAGAGGGGCCAGGCAGGAACAGTCAGGGCTTTCAGTGCCCATGACATAAGTGACTCACACAGCCTGTCATTTCAGAGGAAAATGTGTATTTGCTAAAAATTGCTGTTACCTTCTTGCAAGGAAAAGCAATGTAATTCAGTGAATTTTATATCAATTTTTGCTGCATTTAAATACAACTGTTTTTCCATTACTACTTCAAATATTCTTGAAGAAAATTTCTGTCACTTTATTTGTACTGTCCTCAGCAAAAAGATATCCTGCTGCTCCTTCTCTAGAGATATAACAGCTGACAAATATGAAAGTTTGTTTTCATATTGGTCATGACTGAAATTTCTTTCAGTCTGCCAATGCTTTCTATTTTTTTAATTACTCTATGAACATTGCTATAGAACTCTCTTAATAGTGTAGTAGATTCAATTTTCTCTATTAAGCTCATACTTTCCTGAGTCTTCAAAAATGTTTGCTAAGACAATGAATTAACATAGAATTGAGTGAATTTGAGTGTAACTTACAACATGAAATATCTCATAATAACATTAGATGGCACACAAAGAACAGCAGGGAAGACTTTTAATTAAGATAATGAGTTGAGTTGAATAATGTAATAATAAAAATTGCATCTCAGAAACCAAACTTGGTGCTTTCTATAAGTTTTCAAGGCTTATTTTAGAACAGTAGAGTAGACAGCTAAATCTTCTCTTGCAGTAAGTTCATTAACTTTTAAGGCTTCAAGAGGTTTTGGGATCCTTATGGCTGTTTTAATCACCAAACCTTTGGACTACTCCCTGTTCCAATTGTTCTAGAGCTGCTGAGTAAACCACAAAGTTTACATTGATAAAATGAGGATGAAGGGTAGTGGAGTCAGATATTTAAGATTCTTCAGCATAAATCAGCTGAAATACGTGAAGTCAAGTCATTATAAAATTAGCTCCATTGCTTTTAAGTAGAATACATTTTTTCTTTTGACTTTCTAAGAGTTTCATATGATCTGCTCTATAACAAAGAAACCAATCCAGGGGATGACTAAGAGATGAAATAGCTTTGGTGATTCATCCTAGCTCAAGAATGAGTATGTACAAACATAATAAAAAAAAAAAGTATTTACTCAGTACAGGTTTGGAGATCTACTTTACAGCAACAAAGGCATACCCCTCAAGGCACCTCTACATCAAGTAATAATAGCACTGACCACTTTTTTCTTTTCCTATGACTGAAAGTAATGTGCATTATTTRTGAATTGCTTCTTTTCTACAGAAATGCAGCCATTTCAGGGACATACCTGTAATTGAAATGTCTCTTGCAATTTTTTGAGCAGCAAAAGCACTTTCAGTGGAATGAAAAGCAAGTAGTGAAAAAGAATAGAGTTGTCATAGAATGCATGAAGATGTTTTCACAATATTTTAAATTGTTTTTAATAGATGGCTTTTTTTTTCTGCAAGTGAAGTGATTATTTTATCAAAATCAAATACATACTAAAGTAATGTAGCTTTTTGAGAAAGAACTCAGTTTTTATTAAAAAAAAGCTAATTCAATTTCTTTATTTTACAGTTTTGCCTGATGCTATCCTGGAAATGCTGCAGACATCTATAGAAGTAGCTGAGACAGAATTCAGCAAGACTTTTATTAAGGCATAGAAGATGGCATCAAAAATTCACTGTCAAATTTTGTGAACCTTATCCTAAAATACTTAATGGGCAGAGACTTCCTTTGTAGTCATGACTTACACTATATCCAGCACTGTATGACTAAGAGCAAATGCCTAAGGTAATAACATTTCTTAATCAGCCAGAAGGCTTGCAATTAACCCAAAAAGGATACTCCTTCCCCCACTTTACCTAAGGCTTTATCCACTACATCTATTGCACTCCCAGTGCCTGCAGCTGGAACATTTACTTTTCTACGATRTTGTTAAAACCGGCTAGTGGCATAGACTGTTGTTACAGGACAATTCAAAATACTTCTGAACAGTGTTGGATGTCCAGATRCTGATACCTAAGTGCAGAGATGATGACATTTGAATATTCAATTGAATTTTTGGATCATTGGTGCAATGTCATTGGTGAGGGCCATATATAACTTAATACTCATACTGTTGTTCTGAACTTACAAAATGACAAGGGCATGTTACAAGAACTTTGTAACATGTTCTTGTCATCTTGTAAGCTTGGCACTTTGTGAAAAAACTGGGGGCCTTCTGATTTTCTTAAGTGTATTTCTCTTCTATAAATTTTGATAGGATGCTAAGCCTGAAATAAATGGCATGAACCAGATCACCAGATATTAAATTAAACGAGCAGATATTAAATTAAACGAGCAAGCAGTGCTAGTCAAACCTCATAAAATTCCTGGCTTGTCCAATATTCACCTGACAATGCATGTTGATTGTGTTCCTCTACTTAGGCATACAAGTATGTACAACAGATGAGACAGAAACACAGTGTCAAAAAGGGTAACGAAGCTGATACCTATTACTTTATCGGAGAGTGGCAGCATTTCAAGTGTAGATCTTGAAGTTCCCTGCTGTAGTGGCTTATCATTATAAATATCACTGGCATAACAAGTTTGTCAATTTAAATTAGCTTATATAGAGGTAGTGAGTTCCAGAGGGACGTTGGGAAAGTTGGGGCGATACACCAGAGAAGTATAGTATACACTGGATAAGTATTTATAATAAAACCAAAATATTTTTTGATGGCAGGGATATCACAAGCATATTTAAAAGGCATCAAGGCTTCTACCATTTGAGCTAATATGAAATAGTCATAATAAAAATTGCAACTCAGAAACCATAAAAGGATTAAGATCCTTCTTATAGAGAGGGCAGGGTCTGTGTTTTAAGGATGTTGTCAAGAATTTTATGCATGAGATACAAAACATGCAAGCTTTGTATGTGCAAATGGGAGAGAATTAAACAGAAGTGAGACAAGAAGATTTCCATAATCCCTGTCAGCTTATTGTGACGGTATTAAACTCCAGCTTTATAATCTCATCTGGATTTTTTTTTTGTTTTTACTTGTCAGAATGAGAAGGAGACACTAGATGAAGTTATCCTYAGCATGTCATGAGTAATGGGAATGCAGCAGTTTGGAGCTGTCCACATGCTAGTTTGYCAAAAGAAGAATTAATTAGAAAACAAGGTCTAGAATGACAATTTTTCATTTTTTCTGCCACAGAAAGGGAAAAATTTTAAAATAGCTTACCTGGAAAGAAGGCCTGAGGTGATTAAGTTGAAAACAAACTGCAAACACCATGTCAGTCTTTAGCAAGTTATACATCTTAATGCTAATTTACATCTTAATGACTCAAGATCTCTAGAGGCTTCAGGTACTAGTAGACATTAGAATCAAAATTCCGCTGGTAGTTTCAGATCTTTTCAGATACATATCACAATGACAATTTTGGGTCTTAAAACAGAAATAGAAAATGCTAAAARAAATATGGTGGTAAAAATAGATACAGGCATAGAAATCCTGGAGACCAATTCCCCATTTTTCCATATTAGACATTTCAGTGCTACCCCACAACATATAATATCCTTGTATGGATGAACCACTTCTCCAGACTACAAGATAATTCACTTTCCATACTGTATTGTCAACAAGGAGCGGAGGTGTTCAGTTAGGTGTGAATAAGGTTTTAAACTGAAACTTAATGTCTGGTCTCAAGGCCAGATTAGGGTTCATACTCAGAGAGTAAACCTGATGAGTGCTTCTCAAAAGGAATCAAGTAAAATGTGATCAATTTGAAATAATGGAAACCTTATTATATCTGCCAGGTCTGCTGCATAGTATTCCTACACACAGAACAGCACAGAGATTAAAGCTCATGGACAAAACTTTGGCTCCAGCTTGGTAACACACAACAAGAACAAGCCTCTTAACCATGGCCTGATTCTGGAAATGGGATTCTGACAAAACCATCTCATTGGCTTTCTATCTCTCAGTCAGCCAAAATATTGCCYTGTTTGACAGAAGTTTTAGATTATGACTTACAAATAATTATCATAACAATTTAGGGTATGATATTGACTGCATGTGTAATATGCTTAGGAACACCTTGGGAAAAAAAAAAAAAAAAAAACCACAAAAACCTAAAAGGAATACATAAAGTAGAAAGCCTGCATTTTAGCTTGTGGAATAATATTGATGCCAGTTCCAAAATGCTTCTGTTTATCCCAGACTTCCTTTACAGTACATAATGGGTATTTACATTTTCTGTGCAGTGGCTACTACATTTTACAAGAATGGATGACACTCACGCTGTGATATTTAAAGACTCAGCTGGATGAGGGAAAACACCAGTCCATGCATGGCTCCAGGCAAAACCTTTTAATGACATATGGTAATGCTAGTATATTAATGACATATGGTAATGCTAGTTTAAGGTCTGGAATGTATTTTTCTGTTCCAAACTTTCTCAAAAAACAATGTTAGAATTAATGTTTAATTAGCTCATTATCTCTTTGTGTCTTTAGTCTTGAAGATTTGTCCTTGACTGAATATAATTTTATATATTGTTTAAAACCTGGTGGTTTTGATTGACTGTTCAAGTAGTATACAGTATTTGTATGTTTATCCCACAAAAGGGATGAACTATTATTGTGTTTCATAGATGCAGTAGTGGCATAGTCTCAAACATCACTTCTACGGAAAGTAAGCAGAAACAAAATAAATCAGTCAGGGGACAAGAGTAAATTATATTTTCAACAGCAAGAGAAAGAAATTACGATAGCTGCATGGTGCCTTCCTCAAAGTAATACAAGGAAAAATGCTCTTGTAGGATGAGTAAAAAACGAAAAATATTTAAAATAAGTAGAAGTTTAAATTCTGACTTCCATATGGAACAAGAATGGAAGATTAAATGCAAAGTAAAAGATTTACATAGCAGGGACCTATGGTTAGGAAGTGGGCAATTTAATTTCTTCAGACACATGAAACTCCAGCATGAATTAATTTGCTTAATGCGGAGTCCTGCCGTCTTCTCTTCTTTCTGCAATCACTGTTTACTGTGTAAATTCACACCTCACCTATCTTCTTTGACTGTTTATTTTTAGCAGGATTTTCTTTTCATGGTTCTATTTGTAGAAATAAGCTTTTTTCTGCATGTAATACAGAAATGTATTACTTTAGTCCACAAGATTACTGAGACTATTTCAAGTTGAAACAATGTTATTCCAATATTTTATTTGTGGCAAATAATTTAACTGAATTTTAATAAGGTTCCAAAGCCATAATTCAACATTACTTTTGCAACAACCCCCCTTTCTTCAGTGGATGCCTTGTATTTCTAATGAATAAATTATCTGCTGGAGAAAAACATGCAGATGAACTAATTTTAGGATGTCAGTGAAGAAAACCAATAGGACCAGGTCATGTTTATTGCACAGAACAACAGAGAGACAACTAGATCGCTTTTGAAAGGCTGCAGAAATATTTGAAGCATACAAATTGCTAGGGAAACATAATGAATTTTTAGATGGTAAGCACTCAGAGATTCAGAAATTTTGGACTCTATATTCAAAAGCCAATAATATTCCTGTTTTGGAGCACTTGCAGGAAGATCTGCAAGAACAGATCATATTTTGTCAGGACAGAGTGACTTTTCCTACTAAACCCAAGTAACCCCAACATGTTTCCATGCAGATTTCATTATTTTAATAATGGAAATAAATTCATAAACATATGTATAAAACACAATAAATTCTCAACAAATAAAGTGAGAAATAGCTTATTGCCAATCATAAATTTAAACTAATCACTAGGTTTACTATACTAATTATTATTTGTGGTGGCCCTGGCTGATTTTACAGCTGTGTGTGGGGGCTGGACTCGGACGCAGTATGGGCCGGACAAGCTGACACAGTGCAGGCACGGACKAGCTGACGCAGCCAGCCACGGAGGTGAACAGAATTGGTCAAGTGAAGCTGGCCCACGAATTAGAACAGGGATCATGGTGCGTGGACATTGGAAGCTGCCTGGTCATGTGATTGGCTGAGGCGTGTGTGATTGGTGCAACTGCATGTGCGGGAGATAAGAAAAGTGTATATAACTCATGCTAGTTTGCTGGTAAAGGAGAGTTAATAAAGAAGAAYCTGGACCTGCTTCCCTCGTAGTTCACGTCGTATTTCCTGTGGACCGTGACAATTATTATGGATTTCATAAACAAAAATTTCCTTACAAAACTGTTGTAATGGCAACAGTTTACATACCAGCCCACACGCTACCACAGAATGAAGTTCCTGAAACAGTAGGTGAGCCCTATATATACAGATTTTGATCCTGTATTACTGAAAGGTGCTTGTAACCCTCTTTCTGTCACTAAATAGCTCAATACACTCCAAACTGCGGAAAGCTGGTCATCAAACTGGTCAGATAGAAATTTGTCTTCATAAAGTGAGGATAGCTTTTCATAAAAGTCTTATCTCAGAGTTTTTTATTACTGCCTGGAGACTTTAGCTACCTTTTCTTAGACCACAAGCTGTAAAATTATAGGTGCTCTTACACTGTTTTAACTAAAACAGCATCTGAGAAAATTTCCACTACCTAAAGTAGGTCTCAGTCAGTTCTGATATTTGTAATGGCAGAAAAAAATGTTGTGTTTGACCTTCTCAACCCTCATCTCCCTCTCACCAGTAATGGAAAAGGACCTGCTGATAAGCATCCATTTCTCTGCCTTGCAGTCTGAAATCAACAGCCTGGAGGTGGGAAATACTGATAATATATGGAYGTAGAGAGGAAAAAATATTTGTGAACAACCAGGAAAATTGCCAAAAACAAAGTCAGATTTCTAGCTMCAAAGTCCCTCCTCCTAATTCCTTGCAAAAGAGAGAGGGAAAACAGCAGGGTGTTGATCTGATGGTTCTTGGAGCTAGCTTAATTTAACCTGTTCAGCTAGGTCACATGGACTAGGATGTAAGTGAGTAACTTCTTCAAACACTGCATTTTGCTACTTTTCAGGTAACAAATGTTCTCTTAGGAGCAACCCATCTCTCACGAATTTACATCAGGCTCTTGCAAAGGTTGGATTTATCCTGAAGGATGGCACTGATCAGAGGATACTGAAATGGGTTCCTGGCAGTTTTACACTTCTTTGTCACTGGACATTGCAAAAAAAACTTTGCCTGAAGCACTGTAAATCTGATTTATAAATGAATGGCAAGATATTTACCAACTATAAATATATGTGAAGGACAATGCCTGCAGGAATAGAAATTGAGTACAATCATTGTAGCATGCTCTGCTGTGGTATCTTATATTTTTGTTTTACTCCCCAAAGGGAAGTAGTAATCTCTGAGGTGAATGGASATTAGAGATAAAAACACTATTTCTACAAAAAGACCAGCTGTACTCTGGGGTGCATTACTCACAATATAGCTGACAAGTCAAAACTCACTCTCCCACTGCTGATGTGTCATCACCTAAACACTATGTAGACTTTCTGCTCCACAACATAAGGAGACAAAAGTATCAGAATGTGCCCAAAGGAGGGCAAGAAAGGTGATGAAAGGACTACAGGGCATGGTTTATGAGGAACAGCTGAGAATATTAGGTTTCTTCTGTTTAGAAGAGTCTGAGGGATGACCTCATTGCTATTTATACCTTCCTCATGGGTGGGGAGATGCTGATTTCTTCTCTGTGTCCAGTGAAATAACTCATGGCAATGGCTTAAAAGTGCAGCAGGGAAAGTTCAGATTGAGGATTAGGAAAAGGTTCTTTAATGAGGAATTGGTCAAGCAAATGAGTAAGATTCCCTGGTACATAGTCATGCCCCAAGCTAAGTGTTCCAGATACCTTAGAACAACAGTTTAAATTTTAGTTTGATCTGTGAGAAGTCAGGAGTTCCTTGCTCCTCACAAGTCCCTTCCAACTCAGGTTATTTATGTTTCTAAGAACCTTTCCACTCTGTAAACAAAAGAAAGATCCATGTAGATGTCTGTGTTCCCACCACTTTTGTTGCTTTTCAACATTTTTCCATGTGCATAAATAGGACTGGTCAATAAAAACAATATCACAATGAATATGCAAAAAAAAAAAACAAAAACCAAAACAAACAAAAAAAAAAACCACCAAAAAAACCCCAAACCCTAAATCTAGTATTTCCAACAGTTTCAGTGATTCTAGTGAAAGTTCATTCCTGCTAAATGAATCATCTTTTTCTGTACTGGATGTGGTATAGAGATATTTAGTATAATAGGTATTAGCAGTTTAAATATTGGGCTAGTTTAGATACTGCGTGGAGTAACTCTCTTCAAAGTGCCTAGTGTAGTGCTGTTTTGGATTTGTGCTGCAAATGGTGCTGATAATATAGAGATGATTTTGTTATTGCTGAGCAATACTAGCAGAGTGCAAGAGAGCACTTTCGCTTCTTGTCTCACCCCACCGGTGAGAAGGCTGGGTTAGCACAAGGAATTGTGAGGAAAATGGCCAGGACYGTTGACACAGACTGCAAGGATATCCCAGACCAGATGGAGAAATGCTCAGTACATAAAGGTGGAGGAAGGAGAAATTGAGGGGAGATATTTGGAGTGATGTTGTTTATCTTCTCAAGTCACTGCTACCTGTGATGGAGCCCTGCTTTCTTTGGGCAGCTGAACACCTGCCTGACTCTGAAAGGGGTGAATGAATTCATTGTTTTCCTTTATTTGTGGGTGTGGCTTTTGCTTTACCTCTTAAATTGTCTGTATTTCAACCCAATAATTTTTTCACTTTTATTATTCTGATTCTCTCCCCAGTCCTGCTTGTGACAGAGTGAATAAGTGTCTGCCTAGAGCTTAATTGTCACCAGGGATTAAAGCACAACAAATATTCATATATTTGAGAGAAAAAAATAAACTTTTAACTATCTCCTAGGACCAGTTTTGGTTGCCTAAAAAGAAGTTTATTCTTAACTTCAAAATGCTTTTCCAGAAAACAAGTACATGATGGATGTCTCTGCATAACACATAAAACAGGGTTTATGAATCAAATGTCCACTCTGAAGCTATGACATTGGCCAAGAATTATTCCTGTTTTTTGATCACCTTGCTGTTTCAATCTTAGTACAAAAAGGCAAGAAAATTATTTAAGTGAAACAATTTGCAAT